GCTGGGAACCTGCTGAAGCTAAAGAACAAAACCAAACAAAAAACCACCAACATCCGGGACTGGCCTGTGGGATGCCTGCCATTCTGTTTAGGCACCGGCCTGGGGACCGAGGGAGCCCGGGATCTGGTGCCAGCTCGGCCCCACACTCTCTGGTCACTGCTCTCTGGGTTTCAGCTTCTTTATCTGTCAACGAGAAGCTGAAGGAACTCTGGAGTCCTCTGGCTTCAAAAATCACTGTGAGCCTGTTTTCCCCGTTCAAGGGGCCTAAGTGAGGCTCTACTTCTCAGGATGCTGTGAGGGTCACAGACGCCCAGAAGAGATGCTCCTTGGAACAAACGTGTGACAGTAACCCCGGGCACAGCGTGATCGTCACTCACACATCTGCAGCAGGTGATGCTCAGGGTTAACCCTGGGTGCACGTCTGAGCTGCTAGAAGTGAAGGGAACATCCGTGTGTCATCCCCAGACAGGTGGTTCCCAAACCAGGGGTGGACTACGGATCCTGGGGGCGCGGGTGCATGAGGTCGGGGCGTCTCCAAAGCCAGGTTCCTCTCACAGTCCCAGCAAGTGACACGGCATCTCAGATGCCTGTCCAAGGGGCCCTGGCGGTGCTGGGCTGTGGGCAAAGAGCTGGGGAGGAGAGAGGAGGAACGGAAGAGGGAGCACTTCTGGCCCCATATGTCGGTGAAAAACGTGGGCTCTGGAATCGGAAAGACCCGAGGCCAACGGCTGGCTCGTCACTCAGTATTTGCAGGATTCTGGTCAACTCGCTGGCCGGTCCGAACCCTGGGTTGCCGTGAACACTGTCCGGATGGTGATGTCGGCAAGTTCCCAGCATGCAGCAGCCAGCAAGGCAGCGGCAAAACCCACGCAGGGTTTCCCCTCCTTCAGGGAGGGGCTGTGGAGCCCGCCCTGTGGACCGGACCGTGGGGACCGGAGGGCAAAGGGGTTGTGCGTGGGGTGCTGCAGCAGTACGGATTCCCAGACCACCGAGCCCGAACAGGTTGCATCTGTCTCCTTGTCACGATGTTAGTGAGAACAGGAATTATTTGTAAGTAACAGCCGTTCCAGGGGAGAGTTCGGTCGGGGGTTCACAGTCCAATGGTGATGATAACGATTATCGTGACGATAAGTCGAAGGCAAGCGTTAGCTTCGATAGAACAATCTGGAAGAAATGTCAAGGTCAACCACGAGTAAATGACGGTCACATGTGGAGACGGGGGGGTGACCATTATGTAGATGGGCGAGGGGGCGACGGGCACTGGCCACGTGGGGTCATGAAGGATACTGTTCTATAGTTTTCTTTACGGCAACTGTTGGTATCAGGTTAATACTGGCCTCGTAGAACATTTCCCTTTCTATTTCCTCAGCACCATCTGTCCTTGTTGAGTAAAAATGGGCGCTCACACCAATGAGGGCCTTGCCCCCTCCCCGACCCTCCCCTTCTCTGCAGAATAAATACTCGCCCTTCTTCCTGTGATCCTGAACTTGGCTGCCTCGCCCACAGCTGACACTGGGGGCTAAACCCCCCCCCATGCAGACTGGACTCCTCCCTCCCCTAGCCCTACAGTCCTCCCTCCCTAAGTGCAGAGGCTCTTCTACAGAATATCCTTCCCTCCCCTTTCCTGGGTCCCCTCTGTCCCCTCCTGCTCCCAGACCCCTCTCTTCCCTCACCTGTGTTATTGCCACAGCTTCCTGTTGGGTTTCTAGTGTCCCCACCTCCAGCCCCTCTTCGGGGACAGGTGTCTGAACCCTCCCCCCTCCCCCGCCCCCCCCCCCATTAGAGCAAATCACAGCCCTCCTCTTTTTCCTGCGCCTTCATTTCCTGAAAAGCAGGGATTCCCAGATGATTCCCCTGGGACACCCCTCATGTGGAGGGAGGGCTTCTGTGTCCCCAGGGTGTCAGGAGGCAGAGACTGAAGCCACCAGCCACCGGCTGTTGTTCGAACTTCCCAATTGAATGATATTTCAAAACCATGCAACTTTATCCTCTAGGACTTATCCATGGTATGTTGAATACAAAATAACGGGCATTTTCCTAGATCTTGGAGTAAAGGCGACGCCCTCGGAAAACGCCCCTCCTCGCTCCACCGCTCACGGCTCAGCATTCCCGGGTGAGGCCAGGAGGCAGAACAGAGGACTGAGACATCTTCTAGGGTGTCCACTTCGCTCCATGTTCAGGAAAAACAAAATGCCCTTTATTTCATATTACAACAATCGAGAAGGGGTGCCAGGCTCGGTCGGTCGAGTGTCCGACTCTTGATCTCAGCTCAGGTCTTGATCTCAGGGTCGTGAGTTCAAGCCCCTCGTTGGGCTCCGTGCTGGGCGTGGAGCCCACGTAAAAAAATAAATAAAAAAAACCATCACGAGGGGCACCTGGGTGGCTCAGTCGGTTAAGCGGCCAACTTCGGCTCAGGTCATGATCTCGCGGTTCGTGGGTTCGGGCCCTGCGTCGGGCTCTGTGCTGATGGCTCGGAGCCTGCTTCGGAGTCTGTGTCTCCTTCTCTCTCACTGAGGCTCCCCAGGGTTGCACAAGCCCCGGGCTTCTCTGAGCGTGCCCCTGACTCCCTTCCCTATGTCCCCACCTGCCCCCGGCACCCCCTTCCTCTCAGCCTCACCCTCAGATCTCAGACACCACAGAGGTACTCACAGTCCCTTCCCAGTTAGTTTTACAGATGAGGACACAGAGCAGAGCCCTCTCCGGAGATGTCTCCTAGCACACAGTGTGGGTGGCTTGCACGGGATGGGGCCTCTGTCTTCCACCTCTACCCTTGACCCAGCCCCATTTTTTTTTTTTTTCTGAAGAGAGATTATCAAAGGAGCAGAACCTTCTAATTATTAGCTTGACGAATGGGATGAGCGGTGAATGAAGCAGAGATGATCTCACCGCGGGAGAGGGGGTGGGCCTCAGCTGGATGGAGAAGGAGGGGCAAAAGCTGCTTCCTGAGTTCTCTGGGTGGGAGCCCCCTCCCTCTCTCAGTGCCACCCCAGGCCCTCCTGCAGAGAGGGGAGGAGGGAAGGAGGGACAAAGGGAGGAAAGCCTAAGACCAGGCTTAGTGTGAGTCCCAGCTCTCCCTCACCGGCTGGGTGACCCAGGCAGGTTCTTCCTTCTCTGATCGTCAGTTCCCTCATCTGAAAAATGGGTTGGCAAGAGTCCCCTTCATTCATGGGTCACTGTGAGGAGATGAGGCTTGCGGGAGGACAGGCTATGTTCCTGGCGCATACAACGTGTGGCTGTTGTTGTCACTTTTCTCTATAGGGTCTGATACCCCAGACTTTCTAAGCTGGACTCTGGCCACGGGTCCCCAGGTGGTAGCTGGGGTCTGAAGGCTGCTTCAGAATCACGCGTGAGGCTCTCGGAACCGCAGATCTCTGAGCCCCACCGCAGGAGAGTCTGATTCCTTGTTCTGGGACGGGTTGGGGAGACTGGACTGTCTTCCTCCCCTCAGCAGGTTGAGGCTGGTCCCTGCCCCGGGGGTGCCTGAGGACCAGCTCTGGGAAGGCCTTGATCGGGGGCCTTCCCCTGCCTCTGGCCCTTCTCCAAAGCGTTGGCCGGGCCGGAAGTTGGATGCCTGCCACAGCACGTCCGGCTCTGGCTGGGGCCCAGGCTTGGGCCTCTCTCCTCCGTCCCTCGCGTCTGGTGGTAGAGAGGGTGGGAGCTCTGGAGTCAGGCTGCCAGCGGTCCGAGCCCTGCTCCATCATTTACCAGCTTCTGAGGCAGCTTTGCTGCCCCTTGGCTGAAGCATCGGCTCTGACATCGGGTGGCGCCGGGGTTGATGCTCGGCTCTGTCGCTGACAAGCTCTGTGACCTTGGGGCAGTTGCTGAACCTCCCTGTGCTGGTGTTTGCTCATCGGTACCATGGGGATCATGACAGTCCCTCCTGGATTAGGTGGTTGTGTGGACTGAGTTAACACACACAAGCCACACACCTGGCAGAGAGCCTGGCCTGAGCCAAGCACCCCAGCTCAGACAGGGAATCAGCTGGCTGGCCTCAAGTCGCACAAGTGTCACGGGCCTCAGTTCCCTCATCTGCACGATAGTGAGGGCAATCCTCGCCTTTGGAGGCTGGTGTGAGGAGGGACAAGATGAGGTCTGTCATGAACTTGAACTCCCGGCTCCGCCAGTGAAGCCGCGAGGTGGGGCTGTGAGTTTCACCTCCTCCGCCCCTTCGAAGACTCCGTGTCTGCCTGCCACTCACATCCGGCCTCAAACACCCTGTCGTCTCCACGCCCTTCCTGGCGGGTCAAAAGAGAACCCCGTGAGCAAATGCCAGCAAAACCCCTTAGTGCGGGGCTGGGTGCCCGGAAGCACCCGGAGATGGGAGCTGAGTATCGCCAGCTGGGAGTGTGGATCCACCCTTAGGAGGCTGCAGTGAGAGGTGGGGGGCCCTCAGCTGCTGGTGCCAGCTCTGCCCCAACGGGGAGCACGGTCCGGGCGAGTCCTGTCCCCCTGCCGAGTCTCAGTTTCCCCGTCTGTAAGATGGGGCTGGAGCTGGTAGGAAAGGTTGTCCGGCCTTGACTCTGTGGACACAACACTCAGCGAATCACCTCCAATCTGTCCCTTTCTTGACTTATCCTTCCCCTATCTCCCCACCCCTGCATTAGCCCACACCGCGAATGCCATTTGGGTCCCCCAGCCCACAACGGGAATGAGCCTATCGTGTCCCCACGAGCATCCATGCAGGTTCCCAGGACAACCAGCTAGAGGTCCGTCACTGTGGGGCCCCTCCCCACTCTCCAGTTAGTTTTATCTCAGCCTGGATTCCGTTCACTGCTTTGACTCACCATGGGTAGGGGCTCTAGAACGGCTCAGCAGAGGGGCAGAGATGGGAAAACCAGGCTCCACGGGGTCTAGCTGAAAGTGAAGGGGGCGGGGAAACCCGTGATGCTGTGCCCCATAGCCAGGCTCCATATTGGTGATGAGCGAGTCTTCACATAGGAGGGGAAAGAGGCTCAGAGAGGTTGGGTCATTTGCCCGAGATCAACCAGCTAGTAAGAGATAGAGGCAGGAGACAAACCCAACGACACTTTCTCTTCCTTGAAAGCCGTTCTGGAATTCGGCTACGGAAGACCGACAATCTGCTCTTTGGAGGCTGGGCTCTACGATTTTCCTGCCTCCAGGGGACTGGTCACTGAGTGAGCCGCACGACTCCCCGCAGCCAGAAAGCAAAGCCTACCCTAACAGGCCCACCTTCTTTTGATGCTTTGGGGCCGCTGAGTTGGGACAGTTTCTCTAGATGGCAAATACAGCTCCAGACTGGGTCTCATGCAGAAGAACATCACTCTCAGGGCCAAGTCAGAGTCCCCAGGTCCGATCCTGTTAGGAGGTACTGTGGACTTCTCCACCGCGGACTTACCCTCTCCTGGGGCGGGGGCTGGGGTGCAAGAGAGAGGGGCGCTCCTGTGTGGTCCTAGGAACACAGACCTAACTTGTCAGGGGTCCCAACATCGCCACTTGTAAGCTGGGTGGCCTTGGGCAAGTTGCGAAACTTCTCTGAGCCTCAGCTTCCTGTGATCGCCCCTTCCTTGCTGGCTTACTGTGAGGCTTGAGATACACGCACAATACATGTCGATTATGTCTGCCTTAACATCTTCCAATCCTCTATACTTGCTTTCATGATCCTTATTACAACTGGGCCATTATATATTTTCGTGGGATTCTCTGTTTGTGGCCACCTTCCTCACCAGCAACCGGAAATTTCTGTGCTGGTGAGGCGAGACAGTGAATAAACGAAGGAATGAGTAATGGAATGTTCCGTGACGACTCTTCTTACCCTTATAACCCTCCCAAGGCCACCGCACCCCGCTTGGAGCCCTCCCCTTCTGCGCTCTGCCTACTTCCTGCTGAGGCACCTGAGATGACCCAGAGCCACCATCTCCCCGTGCCTGGCCTCCCTGCTCCGGCCTGTGAATACAGACATGTGTCCCGCACTCTGATGCAGCCCATGCCCCCGAGCAGGGCAGAGCGGTGGCTCTGCTATTTTAAGGGAAGAATTCTGGGTTGGCCTCCACTGATTTATTTCATTCTTTGAGTCTCGTCCCCAGGCATGGGCCCTCATTATGACTTCCTTCTCCACCCCCACTAATGAGCGGACCGAGCAGAGAATCCCAGAGCTTGGCTGCCCAGGTCAGCTGCAGCTAAAAAGTACATGGCTGAGCTCTGGGGGTGGGGGTGGGGGGGATTTTTCTCACCCTGCAGTATAATTGTGGCTCAGTGCGCCTTCCAAAGCACTAGAGACTCTATTGTGAACTGAGGCCTCCGCCATGCGGCCTGCATGCTAGTTCTCCTGTTACATCTCTTCCTGCTGGGCCAACACGGGGCTGGGGGCTCCAGGAGGCTCTTGGGGGTGGACACAGGAAGAGCAGCTGGTCCCTGTCAGCGTCACACACGGTCCTGACCGTGGGAGGTTAGGGCGGGAAAATGCAACTCCTACACCGACTGGTCAACAGCCCCACGGACACCTGCTCTTAGGGCTGCAGGGCCGGCTTGGAAAACACCCTGCCCTTGGGGAGCTCCGTCTGGGGGCTGGCGGATGAATCACCAATGGAGGCCCAGAGAGGGTGTGTGGTTCCACTGGGCCTGACAGTCCGACAGAGGATGGGTTAGAATAGAACCCAGGACTGCTGATGCTGGCCTGTCCCACCAGGACTTGCCATACCAGCGCCCTGCCAGTGTTAGGGGTCAGGAGATGTTTCCTGGGGAAACAGCTTCACTCATGATAAGAACTGTACCTGGAGGTGGAATCCAAAGGAAGGGATTTGGTCAACCCCGCCCCATCCAGGTCCAGGCACCCGCGGGCCCCTCCTTTTCAGCTCCACCCAATGCTGTCCTCCAGAAATGCCCGGCCCCAGCGAGGAAACTTTCACCAGAAAGTAACAACAAACAAGCTAAGCAAACAAGGATTTTCGGGCTCAGCCGAGAACAGCAGGGGTAGGTCTACCCAGACCCAGTTTCTCCAACATTCTCTCCTCTCTGCCTCCTCCCCATGTCGTCTTCACCCCTGGCCTCCGCCACCTTCCCTCCCTGGAACCAGAAGGAAAGGGCACAAGTATCTGGGAGCTCCCTTGGAGGAGAGGGGAGGAGCCCTTTCCCAGAACCCCTGGCAAATATCTGGCCTGTCATTGGCCTGAGCTGGGTCACTTGCCCTTTCCTGAGCCAATCAGGTACTGGCAGGATGGGCGGGGCCAGACTACGTTAGCCAACCAGGCCCCACCCCTGGAGCTGGGGGTGGGTCATTCTGGCCACATGACTGAGAGAAGCGCAAGGCAGTTCCCCTAAGGGCAGGGCAGCGGGCTTGGTGGGAGGAGGTGAGGGGGGAAGCAAGAGAGGGAGCAAAGTGCTGTGACAGAAGCCACTTTCGGTGATGACTTCTCATCCAATCAATGAGAAGCCCGCCCTGTGGCTCCGGTCCCACCTCTCCTGTCCTGCCTGAAGTCCAAGCCTGCTGAGTTGCATGTCATCCCCATGTGCCACCATACTGGCTCATGACCCCATTCTTTTGCCCTGGCCGTGCCCTCCCACTAGGATTCTCAACCACCCCTACCTGCCCTTCATCCTTTAGATCACTGCTTCAGCTCCAACTATGAAATAGGTCACCCCTGCTGGAGGCCCCACCACCGTAACTTGCCGCGCCATTATGGTCAGGGTGCCTGTTATCAACCCCCCCCCCCGACACCCCCCTCCCGCCTGCCCCCAGTACACACGGAGTTTGCCAATTCCTTGAGGTTTGGACTCGTACAAGTTGTAATTAAATTTTTTTTTTTTAGTGTTTGATTTATTCTTGAGCCAGAGAGAGACAGAGAGAGAGCACAAGCCGGGGAGGGGCAGAGAGAGAATGGGAGACACAGAATCCGAAGCAGGTTCCAGCAGCCAGCAGCCAGAGCATCAGCCATCAGCGTGAGGCATCAGCACAGAGCCCCATGCAGGGCTCGAACTCACCAACCGTGAGACCATGACCTGAGCCGAAGTCGGCCGCTTAACCGACGGAGCCACCCGGGCGCCCTGTGACAAGTCGTAATTAATCTCTCTATTCCCAGCCTGTAGATACTGCTTGGCTTCCACCAAGAAGTCAATGAATATTCGCTGAATTAATGAAAATGCGTCTGCGTTGAAGACATGACTTCTGTGCAGTCGTTGGCATTTTAATAAAGGACAAAGCCTCAAGCCTTAGGAATGACGCTCCAAGGGTAGACCTTCAGGCACCAGCGAGCTGGGGACGGAAGCTTCCTCCACGGTTTAGTGCCTGGAAGAGGAACAGCCGCTGGAAGTTTCCATTCATGGCTTTCCAGCGCGGAAACGGTCACATGGTCTCTTATAAAATACAAAGGTGTCATGGAAACGGAAGCATTTCCCCGCCGACCTTCCGGTGGGAGGAAATTTCTCCAGTCCCGTCAGGTTTCCCTGCTCCGGTTCTGGTTGACAGAATGTTCCTTCCTTCCTCACCTCGTGGCAAAGCCCTGGCGGACCTTCCCTTCGTCCCAGCTCTTCAGCTCCATGGCTGCTGAGCCCTGCCTGTCCCTGCGGCTGTAGCATTCGGGGAAGACACTGAAGTTAGTTGGGAGTTTGGAGAAGCCTTGTTCTGCCGCGTCAAGCCCACAACCTGGGTGCTGCTCCCACCCATGCTGACCTGGGGCCCGTCCTGACCACTGGGCCCCTCCCTGGTCCTCTGGCTGAATCCCCCTGGTGCCCTGGCTCCGTGCAGGAACAACCTGCAAGCCTGTGGCCTCCAGGCCACCCTCCACTCTGCCCCGGGGCGATCTTCAGCGGCACAAAGCTGACTCTCCCCTCTTCCCGCTGGAAACCCTTCCCACGGCCCACGACATCCTCAGGTCACGGTCTAAACTTCTTAGCCCTGCCTCAGCCACGCAGAGGCATAGACATTAGCCAGGCACCCTCTCCCCGCGGCCTGGACGCCTCCCCCTCCCCGTCAGTCCTGCACACTGATTCCTCAAGACCCAGCCCCAACACCCCCTTCTCTGTGAAGCCCCTCTGTCTCTGCCCGGGGCCCCCTCCTTACCGATCCCCTGGTCTCTTTCCCCCCACTACACCCTGAACATGTCCAGGTCAGAAGCCAGGTCTCATTTTTCACGTCCTCAGCACCTGGCAGCGGAAGAAATGTCGGTGTGTGTTTGTTGAGGGCATGAACGGATGAGCGAACAAACGAACGGAACTCACTGTTCAGATAAAGTGGGCAACGGTTGACTGAGCGGCTTCTACCCAGTCCCGGGCTCCACACATGGGGTGGCCTTGGTCACCCCGAACCTGCCGCCGGGCTGGAAAGATCCGATTCCGGCGCCGCATTCTCACGACGCGAAGGTGCCAGAAACGGTGGGTGCAGCTCCTCACCCGCACCCTCCACTCTGGTCCTCACCGGGACACCATGAGGGAGGCCCGGCGTCAGCCTCTTTTTACGGATGAGGCAACGGAGGCCGGGAGAGGTTGGGCTGCTTGACCACGCCCTGTGAAAGAGGGAGCTCAGGCCCAGAGAGGGTCAAGACCTCACCCAAAAGCCACACAGCACTGTTTCTAATGGCAGCTCTACCCCCGTCTCATGCAGTGGGGGACTGAGCCTCGCTCCCCACCCCCATGCCCCTGGTCAGGGTGTAGGGCAAGGGAGGCTGAGTTTATAGAAGTCAGATCATATCACCCCTTGGTTAAAGGTCCCCAGCGGCTGCTGAGGGGGCGTGGCCTACAGTGCGGAGTCAGGTTCATGACCTCCCCAGCCAGACCGGTGCGGTACCAGGACAGCGGCAGCCTCACGGTGACCTGGAGGCCCTGGGAGGCGGGATGCCGATCCCCACGCCAGCTCCGGCTTCTTCGCAGCATCTCTGGTGGTCGACCCCTGCGGGGTGCACGGCCGGGACCCCTTTTACGCGGGAGCGGCTCCTGGCGGGGAAAGGGCCGCACCCAGGCTGCACGGCTGGGAACAGCAGTCCCTCGATCCATCACCGGGAGGCAGAGCTGGTGACGCACAGAGGCGGCCGAGGGGACAGCCTGGCAAGCATACGCGTGGAGGTTTGGCTTGGCGACAGGCTCTGCCGTCCTCCATGGTGAGAAATGGCGATGCTGGGGAGAGCTGGCCAGGCTAGAAACGGGATCCCCCCCCCCCCCCC